ATGTCCTTCCATGAAAGGCGTTTTATAAATGTAATTTTTTATTATTGTTGGTGGTGATGGTATTCTGCAGACTTGAAATTTCGGGAGACAAGCATTCAGAGCTCATGTCAGTTTATGAGGGTGTACATAAATTGGCTCCCATGTTTTCTTACAAATACAGTTGCTACACTTAACAGTAAAAATCCTGTGAAGTGCTTTGAAAAACTTTCAGAATTAGAAGATGTTATATCAAATGCAAGAATTATTTTAGTATAAAAATTCCATTAAAGCTACTGTGGTCCACATATCTGTCTCTACAAAATGTTCCCAATCGAATAAATGTTAAGCGAATACATAGGGCAAATACACATATAAATAAATACAAATAAGTATGTCCCAAAAATAACCACAATGATTCAAAGAACTTAAATAATAGCAGGCTTGTGTCACCTTCAGCTTAAAGAATATTGTTAAACTGCTACAGTTCTATGTAGGTCTACTTTCCTCTTCTATAAGCAAGGGTGATGGAAAATATTTTAGGGGCTTGAAATTTTCCACAAAAGTTATAAATAATGTCCAAGTCTTTCTGAAGTCTGCAGTCATTGAATTTTGAACGTGTTTGTAACTCAAAGAGACAAGATAGTAGCCATGAGCAGGATGGAGTAGAGGGTCATATATGAGGCTTATATCTTTGGTTAACTTCAGGTTTTCCACAATATCATTGTGGCTGAAAAGGTTGACTTCTCTTTGCTTTGGTCAAGTCGTACTCCGTAGTTTGTTCAACACTGCTTAGAGCACTTCCACCTGCAATCTCCTGTTTCCCTGCAGCTTTAAAGGGAGGCTGCCCATTTTGATGTCGTTGTTGAAAGTCACTATCTGCCCTTGGAAGTTGGGGAAAGTGCCATTCATAGTGCTGAGCACTGGGCGACACCATAGGAGTAGTTTAGGGGAACACAACAGTTCCAATCACTGTAGGTCTCATAGGGGGGCTTATACGACATAGCAGCAAGAGTGAAGTGGGATCTTGAGGAAAGTTGACATCAAGAGATGTTGGCGTGTGTACATTCAAATTGGTTTTCCAAGTCCATCACAAGGCATGATAAAAGTGACCACAAGCATCATGAAATTACCATTTGCCTCAAAATGACTCCAAACGTTCTGAAAAAATGTTTCCACGTGGCGATGAGATCCAAACATCCTTTTCTTAGATTCAGAAATGTTATTGTGAGGTTTATTCAGGCATTTTAGAGAGACCCTTTTTCCGTGGAAACAAACAAGCTGGTCTTGTCTTAAAGTAAATATTCTCTGATGTTGTGTGTTTAGAGAATGACTAAGATCTCCTATATTTTCAAGATCTAAGAAATATGGACCACTCCAATAGCGCAATAAATTTTAATACCTTGAGTGCAGTTACTTTCTTGTCAATAGCAGTCATGCCTGTTAAGGGTCATCTTCCAGTCCTATTCTTCCTCAAGACAGGTAAAGTAAGTGTAGGATGTAACTGTGCAAAAAGATGTCTGGGCAGAAGAAGATCTGATAAGAGATGCTGTATTAACTGTACACATAACTAACCTTTGTCTAAGAACAAAGTAGTCCTGTCTTCAGCAGAAATTACAGAAAATAAATAGAATAAAAATGAATTGCTTAAAGGAATACATTCCCTTCTTACTCTCTTTGGAGTCTACCACAATGGTCCTGTAGCGTACTGACCTCGCAGGTGAGAAGACCTGGATTTGCTTCCCGGTCAGGGTGAAACTTTAGGCAAGTTTCTTTACTCCACATGCCTCTGTTTATCTAGCTGTATGAAGGTACCCAATGATTAGTCGAGCGGAGGATCGGTTTTCTGGGGTTAATAATCTCTTTTTAAAAAAAAATTTAAAAGATTGGTTACTCAATCCATGACTGTTTATGAAAGAAACACTGCTGTCAGCAATTGGCTGCTACATTTCATCCACAAAATGAATAGTTAATTTACTTTACAGTATATTCTGTAAAGAGCTTTGAGACGTTTCGAAGGCGTGATAAGGCGTTATATCAAATGCAATCTTTATTATTACATTATTAATGGTCCTTTCTACAGTAGCCTATTGAGAAGGGAGTTTCTCTTCGGTGTCCTGGCCAACAATCACCCAAATAAAATTCATCATTCATTTCACTGTAGGAAATTGGGCTGCCGCATTTGCCTACAAATACATAGTCACTCCACAGATGTCCTCTGAATGTGAAATGTGCTATACCAAATATATGGATTAATTTTTACAAAGAAAACAAACGGAATTTACAAGTAAACCAATGATGGTCTGCCCCTCACTATACAAAATACCCATATCTGAAGGTGAATTAAGGTTTTTACAATGATATTTTCAGGCTACAAAAAGGCCAACGGAACTAGGATTTTAAGACGAGTTGCATTATTTTACTTTCTGATTCCATCATCAATTTTACAAATATAAAGATATGGAATTTCAGACCCAACATTGGATTTAACAAATCACAAAGATTTGGTACAAAAATCTATACATTGGGAGTGAATAGAAAGTTATTTGGTGTAATCGAATTATGTATAATAGGATTGAATGAAAAGGTGTTCGTTACATTGTAATCCTATACAATAAATGGGAAATTGTTTGGTATTCTGGAAATTCAATAGAATTTGATCCAATGAGAATATTTTTTGCATTGGATTAGGAGTGAATGAAAATGTGTTTAATATGTTCACATTCTGCAGCGGGGAATAAATGGGAAGTGATATCCTCAATCTGAATTTTAAATTGTGTGAGTGAAATGCAAGATGTTTAATACGGTGAGAAGTTAGAATGCTATTCTTGGATGTGGTAACCCACCTCATTAACATTGAATCCGTGTATAATAATAATAATAATCATTGCATTTGATATAGCACCTAATCAGGTCATTTAGACGTTTCAAAGCACTTCACAGAATTGTAAAGTGGATTGACTATACATTTTTGGGCAAAACGCGGCAGCCAATTGTGCACAGCAGTATCCCACAATGAGTCGTGGATTGAGTGACCAAGTTATTTTTTTGAGGGATTTTTACCCCCGGAAAGAGATCTGCCTTTCAACTAACAACCAGGTTCCTACATACTATTAGGGTAAACACAGGCGTATACAGTAAGGAATCTAAGGTTTCACCCTGCCCAGGAGTCAAACCCGGGTCCTCTCGCTTGCGAGGTGAGAACGATACTGTCTGCAAATTTCTTGCTTTTTACGGACTTTGCCAGCTTGAGGGTCACAATTTGCAATTTGCAAATCTTGCCGCAAATTACTCCGATATTCGCAAAACGAAAGTTGCAATTAAACCAACAAATCTGGTTTCAGATATTGCATTTTAGACCTCCAATGACTGTTTCTTTGCCACTGCCTTAAAGCACAGATAAGTGCAATGAGATTAGAATAGTGTGAAATGTTATCCTTTGAGATTGCTAAGAAAGATTTTTTTTCTCATCATTGAGCAAAATGGATGACTAAATTGTTTGTGATATTTGTAAAATGGCTTGTTTTGATGGGACTGGAAGTAAACAACAAATGCTATTCAGATCAATTTTGTCTAAGATGGACATGAATGGTATAAAATTATTCATTGAATAATTCCAGTTAGGGAAAGGTGTCTGTCAAGTTAGTGCCAAGAAGAGAAAATTGCTTTTCAAAATATATTTCGAAACTCCCCATAAAGCTAGTGAGTAAAAGACATCTAGCACTTATCCCACATTTAGGCAAGTCAGGTTTGCCTCCTGGTTTGTGTTGAGTTAACTGATGTCAGCTGGAGCAGCATCAAGTGTGCTGTCGTGGCTCCATTGCCCTGAGGCTAGTGAGGGAGAAATCAGTCAAGCTTAAATTCGTAGCATGCAGAACGCATTGTCTTAATATTGAAGATGGTGTAAAATTATGGATAATTGCTCGATTTAGCTTCAATTTGGAAACTATTTTGAAACAAAACTGCCATCCAAATGAAGACAGAATTTCAGGCCGCGATCACGATCCAGTAATCCTCTGCTGGAAAGTTTTTATGTATAGGTATCAGGTAACCATAGATTATGCCAGTCTGTGTTGCTCTCCATGATCAAATATCCTGAGAGCGTACAATACAATGCAGCCTAGTTTCAATGAGCTTCAGTTTTCCACGACTCAGATATAATGCAGTAACGCGGTGAACTGGTGGCATTATGTACTGTCTCCTCTTTTCATCTGGAAAGCTTTCTGCTCAGAACACAGAGGGTGAGTAGATCTCAGTGACATCAGGAAGTGAACGCAAGCAGCCTCAATATAAAGTATCCCACTTATAGCAGTTTCATTACATGTACCCTCCCCACCACCAAACTATTGTGTTCTAACAAGACTGTGCGGGGTGGGGAATGCGCAGGGTGGGGGAATGGCTACTGGTGCATGGGCTGTTGGCAACTGTTAAACTGTACCCCACTAAGGGCCAGTGCTTACAAGAGACGAGGATTAGAGAAAAGAGAAAACAAATCCCCAGCACAAAACAATGTACAATTACATTTTTAAATGCACGCCTAAGGCAGACTCATTGGCAGAGTTGATCTACCGCTGGGAAGATAAAGGTAGTCTTGAAGTAGATGGGAAGAAGACTGTGATCAGGCACCATGCCAGGCTTTGTAAGGGAAAAATGTAGGTGAAGCTAATGTAAAAGGTATGGCAGAATGCAAGTGTTTTTTTTTAAAAAAAGACCTAAGGGAAAGTGAAAAATGATTTCAACAATCAAAATAAGGACTGAAAAAATGTCACATTGGTAGTTTTGGTCTGCCTGGCCAAGAATCCTTCAGATAAAGTTAATCATTGATTTCATGACTGACGGCAGGACATTGCTATTTGCAAATTGGGTGCTGCGTTCACCTATGAAATACTCAGTCACTACACTTTACAGAAACTGGGTGAAAAGGTTTGAGATGTTGTTAACATCATAGTGATATCAAAGGCAAGAATTATTATTGTTACTATTAATTTACATGTGACTGACTGCTTCTGTCTTTCTTTCCGCAGCAAGGAAGAGAATTTGCTAGTCCCTTCTGTTGTTGCAGCATGATTTTGCACAAGCCAACGACCTAAAAGAAAATCAAAAAGAAGCATCAACTTTCCACTCCGTCATCCTGGCCGTCGATTTGTGTGTAATGTAATCGATTCCTATAATATTGGAGACAATTTTGCTAATAATGGGATCATATGCTCTCAGCAGGTCTGAGAATGATGCGATTTGGAGACTTTGGAGGTGACTGGTGTGGTCACTTCTCCGACCTGTGTGTGCCTGTTTACAGCACTCAGACTTTCACTGAGCTCTGAGCTCTTTAATCACCGACCGCCACAGGTCGGGCACCAAGAGAAGCCAACTGTACAGAAAACAATCAGACGTGCATTATAAATGCAATATCACTGTTTTAGATGTGACTGTTTTTCTATTTTTTTTGTGATGGAGTGTCCCCCAGATTAAGCCATCGTGACTGTGTCCCTTATGCACAGCGTGTCTTTCTGGTGGTCAGCCACGGGACCCACCATTATCAAAGCTCTGCAGTTCAACAATATTCTGTAGTTTATACAGTGTTACTTGCAAAACGTGTTTACTGTACTCTTTCAAAACTTCTAAATAAAAAGAAATGTACTCTTTTTTTCTTCCTGAAGTGGTGGTGTTCAGTGAAGGGATAACTTGTGATTTGCAAATATCTGAAATCCCATGTTTGTTGACAGCTTCCGTTCTTTCCCTTTCACTCTCAAGACCAATTCAGAACCGAGAAAGAGAAATCGAGAGGGCTGATGTCCGTTAACACTTAAAAGACCCACGTAAATTTGAACACTCGTAGCCTGTTTCTTAATCCTGGCATTAAATCATTTTGAGCTAGTCTATGTGCTGGGTATTTTCTCATCTTGAGTAATTGATCTGGATCCCAAGAGGAACCAGAGATTCCTTTGGTAGACAGCACCGAAGATTGTTTTCCTTTATCTCATGGATATAGCCTATAGATCCCTCTTGTGATGTCTTTTTCACTTCCACTCGGGGGAAAAGGATGGTTATTGTTTGGGGGGAGGGGGAGGTGGGTGGAAGGGGTCCAGTTGTTTAGTCAAATACACTTGAATGCAAATCTGGTGATATTGCATCCTGACAAAGTCCTGGTATAAATAGAACAGGGTAAAACTAGAGGTGAGGGAGTGTTACAAGGGCGTAACACATTTGAGCTCATCTATTGATATTTTATACACCACATGAGTGGTTAAGACATCACTATCTTGATCGAGTCACTGCTCTGCTCGGAGTGACACTTTAAGCCAGCTTTTATATTACATCAGGGTCACTCTTTTTTGCTGTTCAATGAATTCTTGAAACCAATCCTTATTTTAAGCTTCCAAATTTAACTTTTTTAAAATCAAAATAGAAAATGACAAGTTAAGGTGACGAATTGCAGAGAACAGACTTTTTTTAAAAATAAAATATTACGTACAAAATTAATGTTGTATTTTCTCACATTGTTAAATCAGTTCATTGTCAAGAAAAAAACTGTAATACATTATTATTCTATCTATACTGTAGTAGTTTATACGTGCTTAAATTAGTCAGCAAAATTTTAAAACACTAAATAAATAGTATGCTACACTGCAATCATTTGGGTTAAATCAACAAATCGTACAAAATAACAATGCAAATGTTTATTATCATGGATTAAAGTGCTGTTCATTAAAAGTCCCGTGAATGCTTTTTGTCTCTGTATTAATGGTAAAATGCCATGGGATTAGTTATGTTAGTGACATAGTGAGGTTGGAGCGTGCGTTAGTGGCAGTGTGTTGTTGCAGTGTACATATCAGTGACCGTGTGAACTTTCAATGTGTATATTAGAGACAGTGTGAGCCTGGAGGTGTGTGTTGCTGTTAGTATGAGGCTGGAGTGTGTGTATTAGAGACAGCGAGAGGTTGGAATGTATGCTCTGTTCACCATTTATTGGTGACAGGCGTAGGTGACTGCACTTATATGTTTTGTGATTCTGCATCTAACATGAATAATAACCCATATTATTATTAAAAATAAAAACTGGTGCTTAGATATTGGAATGTTTCTCTTAGAAAGCTCATTTCAAAATTGAAAGAACCAAGTCACGTAAATATTTTTTTTCTCCCATCTCGGAGATTGATGTTAAACATCAAAATGCAGCTGCTCTAACTCCGTTCTCTTTTGTCATTTTATGTTATTTTCCCTCTATTCCTGCCACGGGCTGGACTCAGGTTCACTTAGAGGAAAGCAGCAATATGAAAGGAAAAGAAAGCTGAACTTCAATGACTTTTTGCAGCAATGTAAAAACACTGTTTTCTTGATAGATATAATATTCATAGTAGCACTTTTGTGGGTTTATTTCACGGTGACATACCCTCCTTCACCTCCCGACTGTCAACCTTCACAACAGGATCAAATAAGCCTAAGTACATGATGTTTACTGTACTGTTTCAAAAGTTTTTAAACACACACAGAAACAAACAGAATGTTTTATTTAGTTACACACACATTGATACTTGTCTTCTGTTTTATATACGGTGTGCACAAAGAGGACACAGAATGTCACCTTGGCTCAGTTGGTAGCACTCTTGCCTCTGGGTCAGAAGGTTGTGCATTCAAGCTCCACTTTGGGACTTGGCTGGCATTCCAGCTGTATTATCGGAAGGTGTTGTCTTCAATGAGACACTAAATGAAGAGCTATCTGCCTGCTCAGGTGAACATTATAGATCCTGTGACACTATTTAAAAACAGAACAATTCTATTAATGTCACATGCATAGAACATGATATCAGCAATTACCTAATGACCTGAAAGTTGGCCATTTTTNAGTCCACAGGAAGTCAATTCCTCGTGCCTGTGTTTGTCACCTCCCGCCTGAATTACTCAAACGCGCTCCTCGCCGATCTCCCCAGCTCCACTATTTTAAAAATCCAGCTCATTCAGAACTCTGCAGCCCGCATATTTACCCTGCGTGGATGGCGCTGTATAAATGCAAGTTGTTGTTGCTGCTGTCACTTGGTCCAAGTACTCAAGGCTAATGCAGATTCATAGCGCATCTGGCTTTTTATGGACATCTGGAACCAGCATTATAATCAGTGCCTTCTAATAGTGTTCCAGTATAATTATTATTAATAATATTAATAACTACTTGAGAAGCATTTGAGATATTTTGATACGATAAGGTGCCAGAATTTCTTTTTTCTATGATACCTTCCTCATATGCATGATAAACACATATATATATATACACTGGCAAACATACCAACACCAGTTTGTGAATAACTCCACCTTAGCCTCCTACAGGTCACTGTTAGAGAATTCCTCAGCTATGGTCCCCACTGTTTCCTGGTCTACTTGGACTTTGTGATCAATCAAGGCTTTGGGCTCTTGAGCAATGTTGAACCCACCTTTGACTATACCTTTGACCAGGACAGTAAGAGAAAGAAACTTTGATGAAACATACTAGCCCTTATTGGCTCAAGGTGCTGAAGTATGCTATGAAGTAAGGGAAGGAATATCAACCATATTGAACTCAATTAACTCCCAACCTACTCTTCGCCCACAGAATCTCAGGAGATTTCAATTCTTTATATCTGTGAACTATTGCATTAAGAGTTTGCTCCTTGCTGTTCGGTTTTTGCTTGCTGCATCTGCCTGCTGACTTTGTGAATGCCAATTTTTGAGTGTAGCTATGGATCACATGATCAATGAGAGAGGGAAAGTGGGAGCAAGAGAGAGAGGGAGTTAAAAGATTGCTGAAGCCAAGCTACGACAGGCCAAGCCGACAAGGAAAATGATTTACTGAAAAATTTACTTTTCTTCAGAGCTATATTCTCTGATATAAATTTTAATGCAATCTTTACCAAATCCCAATTTACTCAAGACCAAGTCAATACTATTTTAGCCTTTTCTGTTATACATCAGTTTGATTTATAACCTTTTTTTTATATTTCAACGTATTACACATAACAGGATCCCACTGTGAACACATTTGCATTTTCCTAATCTTAAAATCCAGGGAAGGCATCTGGGGAAAGATTTGACTTCTTTAAAAAAGAGCAAGGAAGGTTTGTTTATACCTTAGTGTGAAATATTCACTCTTCCCTCATTCAATAAGGCTGACTCTGAAACATTGATGCATAAATCGATACACATATCATGTTCATAAGTTGGTATATGTCAAACGTACAGACATGCTCCATCTAAGAATTTACAGATTGATTTGTTTAAAAAAAACTGGCTGCACAGCAGCAGAGGTTGATTCAAAACTCTTACATTGGTTGCTTAGATTAACCTTATTAATAATTATTACATTCAGCAACGCGTCTTTCACAAGAGGATGCCCCAAAGTGCTTCACAAGATTTACTATAAATGATTGCATTCAGATGGTAGAGTACATTGTTGGGCTGCTTTCTGAGACCTTACCAATGACTGTTTCATTGTAATTAGTCTTTTTGGCTATTAATCATTATTTTTATTGTGACCATATGCTGAAAAACATTTTGCAACATTTTGACCTCAATTACTGCATTAAATTGCCACTTGGGGATAGGAGACTTGTTCTTTATTAACAAATAATAAGTCGTCCAAATGTCGCCTTCATGACTTTAATGAAAATATTTAGAAATGCTGGAGAAGGTGGCACAGTAACAGTAGCACAATGCATCGATCTGGGCTGTAGACTGTGGAGAGGAAGGGAGGGAGCGAACTTCCAATTCCCCATGCAATGGTTTCTTGATGTTTGCCTGCTGTAGATCAGAGGCCAGTGGTAAGAGCGTGTGCGATCACACACAGCTGGTTCAAGATGTGTGTTTGGAAGAGATTGTTTGCCTGCCCTTTTGATCAGCAAATGGTGAATTAACCAGGACAAAAAAAGTCCTTCAAGCTTTCTTCCTCGAACATTACTGCAAGATTGTTGGAGATATTGCTAGCAATCACTCCTAGAAGCTTTATTGAAACAAAACTCTGACCACTGCAAACTATCCCGACAGTCACAGTTCACTCACTGCCAAATAAGAATAGTAGCAGTAAATCATGGCCATTTTATTTTATAGTATTGCCTCTGTCATACGTATGATAAGACACAAAGGAGGAGGGAGGAATATGGCATACAATGTGATAACAAAAATGTGTGGTAAACATCCCCTTTAAACCCATCCTGAACAAGTTATGTTGCGAGCATCCATTCTTGTCTCACTGAAGATTAGTTTAAATATTCTTTTCCCAAAATGTAAACTTGATGGCATTATCCTTTCAACTTTAAATTATATTTTATTATTGGTTCTGCTGAATAATACATCACAATAAACATGTACAAATGTATATGTGTGTAGATTTTTGTGTTGGTGGTAGTGGGAGAGAGAATTAATTTTTCAATTTGTGACCATGTGCACCAGGGCATCAGTTTATTGTTCCCACTTTAGAAAGGGAGATGAAAATGAAAGCAGTGGATACATTCATTTGGTTGTAGAACTGAGAAAATTCAGTTAAAACCTCTGATCCTTGGTTTTAGCTTATCCCAGTCTGGATAGCAATAAATGTGGTCAAATTTGACTCATTAGTGTCTCTGATTTAGGGAGTAGTATATCAGCCAGAGTTATATGCCTGGTCACTATGAAAAATAGGTGAAGAGAAGCATCAGGATTGACTCATAATCAAATAGACTAGCAATGCCCCTTGTGGGGACTCACACATCAGGAATGTTCACTTAGAGTCCTGTAGCTCAGTGGTTAGAGCACTCGCTTTGCAAGTGAGAGACCTGAGTTCAATTCCAGGCAGAGGGCGAAACCTTGGGCAAGTTTCCTTACTCCACACGCCTAATAATAATCCCTCCAAAAAACCCAAAACAATAATAAATTGGTCATTTTCAATCTACGACTGTTTGTGGGACATTGCTGTGCGCAATTGGCTGCCGCGTTCGCCCACAAATATACAGTCAATTCACTTTACAGTGTGTTCTGTGAAGCGCTTTGGGACGTCCTCCCGACGTGAAAAGCGCTATATCAAATGCAAGGATTATTATTATTATTATTAGAGATTGGGGAATTGCTGATGGCTGTGAAATAGTTTTACAAGAGTGGAAGCAGAGAAAAGGGGAAAACATTTCCAATGATGTTGCTGTTGCCTCCATCGTGCTGGTGACTGCTGAATGAAATGAAGCCCATTTTGCTCCACTGGGCTTTTAAAGCAAAGTGGTGATAATAGCAATATTGAAATGCATGTGTGCTTCTGTAGTTCTGCATCAGTGGGACCACTGCGAAGCGAAGATGAGTAAACCTCTAGAGAACATGTTTTCTTTCTGACCGAAAGACAAACAATAACAAGAAAACGATTTGAAGGTCAAGTAATAATGTCTTGCGCTTCTGAATAAAATAAGTTCCTCCAACGTACTATAGTTCCAGCTACAATCTCCACTCAACCCTGCGGGATCTTAACATTAACTTTAAAACCCTTTTGTCACACAAAAAGCGTTAATGAGTATAAGCCATGACACTTTGTATGCTGCATGAAGCCACATGATCATAGATAATGGCTGAACCTCATCCTGCACAATTAGAAATTGTTGTTGAAAGTGAATAAATGATTAATGCTGTTAGAATAACCCCCTGAGTTTTATTAATATTCATAAGCTAAACCACACCATTATAGACAGGTGTCGCAAAACTAAACATCCTCTGAAAGAGATTCAACTCCATGATGTATTTTGTTGAGAAAACCACAGAATATATATAGACAATAGAATGCTGAGTAACATTACATGCTCACTAACAAGGAATAATTTGTCTCTGTTCTCTGAACTACTTCCCGGAGTCCCTTCGACTCGCAACCTCCGTCCCTCCCCTTCTTCAAGACTCATCTCAAAACAAACCTCTTTGACCAAGTTATCTTTTCCCAAGCACTTTGATGTCCTCCTGATGTGAAATATAAATCGCGTTGTATTGTAATAAAGTGGCCTGGTCATATAGTTTCTATTATGCAAGATGTTTAATTAACCTTTTGAGCAGTATTTAATAATACCATTTTGTATTTACATTGAGCCTTTCATGTAAAAATAAA